GTCTAGTTTATTTATAGTGGATGTATCTGGTAGAACGTTACATGAAGATTTTTAAAGGGTATACAAAGAATCATCACCGTCCAGAAGCTTCGATCATAGAGAGCTACATCATAGAATAAGCTGTTGAGTTTTGTACAAACTATTTTATAGATGAAAACTTTATAGGAATTCATGAGTCTCGTCATGATGGATTTTATGATGGTAGATGTATTCAAGGTTTAGATGTTAAGACATTTAGCCGAGAAGCAGTTCTTCAAGAACATTTGTATACATTGAATAACCTTAGTGAACTTGATTCTTATTTGACCTCTCACAAAAGTATTTTAAAGAAAAAATTCCCCTGGATGAATGAGAAATGGTTGTTGACAGAGCATAACAAAACTTTCATATATTGATTTAATGAAAGTATTTTTAAAGGAAGTGGTACATCAGATAATTGTAAATGGTTTCACATTTGCCTAAGTTTAATGTAATTACTTGGAGCACATACGAAATTAGTAAATATTCGTTATATACAAAATCTAAGGATGATCGTAGCACCATGAAAAGTAGTGGGGGTTATGGTTGATGTTGGATCCATGTACTTTTCTAGTTCTAAAGATAACAATCTTGTACTAGCATCTAGAGCGTGCTTTGGGGTCATTGATGAGATTGACTATGTTTCTTTTAAAGTGTCTTTATTTAAGTCCAAGTGGATTGATAGTACCACTGATGTGGAAACCGGTGAATTAAAGTTCACACGGGTTGATCTTCGAAAGGAAACTTATAAGAACGAACCGCTCATCATGGCAAACCAAGAAAAACAAGTTTTTTTATGGTGTAATCAATGAATATTTGTGGTACAATGTTTTAGATTGAAGAATTAGCATGGTAAAATTCACGTCAATCATGGGAAGAAAATGATTCAGATGATGTGCATGCTATTCATCGTGATCATGAAGAGGGGATATGGGAAAACTAGTAAGTAAATAGTTTATTGCTTTTGTTTCTTAATCATTCGTTTCAGTTTTGAAGTAAAATTATAAAGTGTATGCCATTTTTGGTTTGCATTTGGTGTAATCAATGAAAATTTATGGTATAATATTTCAGATTTAGGAATTGGCATGGTAAAATGTACAATGTCTCTATCTCAGGAATCTGCAAAATATGGTTATGTAATATGGTTATGTAATACAGATGCAAACTGCATCAAAAAACCTAACACCCTCAGTTTTAACTTAAAACTAAGGTAATAACACTGATGGCCATTTAACACCTTTAGTCGAGTTGCACCTCCTTCCGAGTATCCATCATTATTATGGGTCAATTACTAGTCTTGTTCTCATTTCAGACGACTTCATGACCCGATCGGGATTAATATTTCTAGTATGTACAAATGGGTTTGCATACATTCAATTTTAGATATGACATAAAAAGGTAGATACATAACATAGAATTCTATGGAAAAAAGATAAGATACTCCATCTGGCCTTATTTATAAGCAAAAGTCTTTAAAAAAAATCGGCGTTCATTTAAGAACATGAACCTTGGAACAAATTTTTCTGCACTTGCAATCCATCCCATAGATTTGTTCCAAACTTTCATTATCAATGTTTTCATTGTTTTCATGGCAAACACTTTCATTATCAATGATTGAGTTTCACAAGATAGCGTTCAAGATATATAGTGATGGCGTTCATGTTCTCATTGAATATATAAGGTATCTTGTGGATTGATGTGTTGACATTATATTGGGTGTTGTTACTTATGAATGTATTTGTTGTTGGTTAACTAAGTAACTATACCCCTTAGTTCATTTATAAAACCAAGGGAAAATGTTATTTATTTAAAAAAATAAAAAGTAGGGGCTTTCCCCTTAGTTTTATAAAACAACTGAGATAATATATTAGTTACCATAAAAGTGGTGACTGATAAAAAATTGAAAGTAATATGGAATGTTACTTTTTCAAATTTTAAACATTAACCACACTTTCTTTGTGCTGCAATATTCAAAATTGCTTGCAATTTATAGTATGTTTAGGAATAAATTTTTCAATATTGTCAGCCGAGGAAAATAATATAAATTATAGATTGCATAAGAAGAGGTGAAAATAACAATAACAACAACACCGTTATGTGACATAGATTGTAAGAGTAAAAAATGTTTTGTTCAATGTTATTTATTTTTTAATTAAAAAATAAAATAAAATAGGGATTTTCCACTCGATTTTATTAAAGAACTAAGGTAATATATTAATTTCAAAAAATTGGTGAATGGTAAAAAATTAAAAGTAACATGTATTATTTCCTTTTTCAATTTTTACCATTCACCAGTTTCTTCGTGCGCTACAATATTCAAATAAATGACTTGTATTCTGAAACAACTATATTGCTTGCAATTTATAATATGTTTAGGAATAAATTTCTCAATGTTTTCAACTGAGGAAAATAATAACTTATGAAATATTTTTTTTGATTGACATCATAGGAAAGTTATTCCAAAATATAACAATGACATTGCAAGAGGTGGAAACAACAACAATATCAACAACATCATTATGTGAGATTGCAAGAGCGAAATAATTTTTTTTTTAAAATTGGTGTTAGAAGAACAATATACAACACAAAACATTGAAAAATTTTCGTGCCTTGCAATCCATCCTAAGGAATGATGTATATGAGCTTAGAGCGGTTATAGATGAGTTAAGTTTAGAGTAAAATTTTATTAACAAGTATTTTTATAGTAAAATTTGATTATCTAACTTCTCAGTTATTATATAAACTGAAAGAAATAGATCATACTATATTTTACAAATAAAAAGAAGGACACCACTTTTAAAGATATAAAACATGAACTACATTTGATGAGATTTAAAGCATGTACTGAATTAGTTTTTCCCTCAGTTATATTTAAAAATCGAGGAAATGGATTTTTTTTAAATTTTAAATATGGTGCTTCATTAAATTGTATCTCAGATTTTTTATTGGGTGAGGTGAAAGCTTTGTCATGAAATATAATTTTTGTAGTAGTGAAAAAAATCAAGACGATATTTATGAGGTATACTAATTACAATGAAGATAGGTGTTGCGAAGATTCTTTCTAACAACCTTGCATTCAATATAAGCCACTCGTTTTCATTGAAGTTATCGGAGTTTGTTATAAATGGTTATACAATATACATAATGTGACTTATGATCTCCTATGTTCCATGAGTAACACGAACTAGACAATCAAGATATTGACATGCCCGTCTCATTGTACGAATCCTTACACATCTTGCACATATAACCATTGCTGAACCTCTCTTAAAGACTCCTCGAATGCCAAAAACAATTGTGAATCACTCTCAATGATTTTCTAAATTATGATTTTGTATTCGTCAATGCATAAATATAGGATTTTAAGATGATACATCAAATAGGAAATATTATTGCTCACATCCTTATTATCACGACAACAATGAAATCCACAAAATGAACAACGCAAACTTTCTATTTAAATAGAAATTATTAAATACAAAATTGTGCTTCCTCCCTAATCTTTTTTTTTTTAAATAAATAAAATATAAAAACTACATCATTTATAAATTTTAAAGATTCCTATAAAACAACAATTTTATGTAAGATAGTCATATATTTAGACTCAATAACAAAAGTTAATAAAATATGCGGAAATATATGATCTTATAATCAATAGTTCACTAGTATTTTTAAAAGTATATCATATGTTGAATTGAATAGGGATGTCAGTTTGGACCTGTTAATGGGGATCCCCGCGGGGAACGCCCCGTTCGGGGCCCCAAAGATGGAGAATTTTCTCCCGTGGGGGCGGGGATGGGGAGAAAAATTCCCCCGAGAGCATTTCGGGGACGGGGAATACACCCCCCGCCCCGCAGGGACCCCGCCCCGCCTATTATTTTAATATAGTTAATTTAATATATATATTTTAGATTAGGTTTTTTAGTCATTTCCTTTATGTTTATTTATAAAAATAAATAAATAAATATTCATGTATTTATTAAGAGAGAGAAATGTAAATATTAGACCCTAAAAAAGTTGAAGCGTTTCATTTTCTTCTGCCAGACATTTAGAGTCTCACACGTTAGACTCCTTTTTTTCTTCTCCAGTCAAATCTCCATTCATCTTCCTCTTCCAATTCCATCTTCTCTATTTGGTGTGCTTCCATTATTCACAGCTCTTACAATTTCATCAATAAGGTTTGATTTTCATAAATTTGTTCATGTAATTATTTATAGGAAAAATATTATTTGTGCTCCATTTCAGCATTTTATAGAAATTTATAAAAAAAAAAAAATTTTTGTGTTCCATTAGTATTTTTAATAAAAAATAATAAATGTCAAATACTAGTATTTTTTAATAACATAATAAATATGTGAATTCTTTGTGCTTTTTATTTTTATAGAAAATATAAACATTTTAAAAAAATAAAATATTAATGAATAAATGTAGGATCTATGGGGATCTCCGCGGGGAACGGGGATCCGCGGAGAACGGGGATGGGGATAGAAATTCCCCCGTGACGGAGATCGGGGACGGGGACGGGGAATGAATTTGATGGCGGGGAAAAAGATGGGGAAGTGTCCCCCGGCCCCGCCCCGCCCCATTGACATCCCTATTGAACATTCTTATACTTTTCAAATTTTGTAAAAGAAAACTATTGATTTGATCTTATTAATAAGAATTATTACTTTGGCAATTGAGTAGATAATATATATATATATAAAAAATTATGAAGAATTATTATGTAGAATCACTTACAAAATAAGATTTAAGGATTGAAAGAGTGATGAGTATCGAGACCCACCTAAATATTTTTCTATAAAAAAGGCAAGAAATACAAATATGAGGAAAGTGAATAAGAAGGAAAAGAAAAGCACTTAGATTAAGACCCCACGTTAAGTCCTTTCAAAAGACCACAAGTCGTGATTTTCATCTTTCCATCTCCACTGCACCAACACCATCACATTCATTCTTTCACCTCACATTTTCAACTTCAAAACATGTCTTCTTCCTCTTCTCTTCAACGTCAAGCCTCGTCATCCAAACCCAATCACCATGATCATCACCAACAACAACCACTTAGCAGGTACGAGTCTCAAAAACGTCGAGATTGGAACACCTTTGGCCAATACCTCAAGAGTCAACATCCACCTGTTCCACTATCAAACTGTACCTTCAACCATGTTCTTGATTTTCTCCATTACCTTGATCAATTTGGCAAGACCAAAGTCCACTTGAAGGGTTGCATCTTCTTTGGCCAACCTACCCCACCTGCACCATGTGCTTGTCCTCTCAAGCAAGCTTGGGGAAGTCTAGATGCACTCATCGGACGCCTTCGTGCTGCCTACGAAGAGAACGGCGGATCACCGGAGACTAACCCCTTTGCCGGAGAAGCCGTGCGGGTTTTCCTCCGTGAGGTGAAGGATAGTCAGCAAAAGGCAAGAGGGATTCCATATAAGAAGAAGAAAAAGAAGAAGAAGACTAGTTACCAGATAAAAGGGAGTACTAGTAGCACAACTCAAACTCAACAAAGTACCTATGTCAACCAACAAGATTCTTAAGATATGAACCAGAACTATATACATATCTATATATGGTAAATTTTTAGTTTATTTTATAAGCAGTGAGTTTTATTAAGAGAGGGAATTATTATATTGTCATATAACATACTATGCCTATAATTAATTGTTTATGTATTTTGATTAACTATCAATTGGCTTTGGCTTCAAATTTTTCAACGTTAGAAATCTAAACTACAACCAGTAAATCAAGATTATATGAGAATTAAGGTGAAATGGATCATATATTAAATTGGAAGCCTTTATATAAAAAAGGCTATAAAAAGGTCAAGTATATGGATCGATGGAGATAGAGCAATATGTACAGAAACATTTGTAGTATATGAAACCCTAGATGCTGAACAGAAACCCTAAGTATACACTGTTGATTGGAAATGGTTTGCTTGGAGTTATTTAGTAGCTATATTATATTATATTATATATTAATATAATAAGACTGTTAGAATAATAATAGCTAGTGTTTATTTGTTTCTCTCTCTCTCTCTCCTATAATTCAAAATAGTACTGTTACAGTTTTACTGTAGTTTTTTATTAAATAACTAATCACTTGCTTTATGCTAATTATGTTGGAGCTTTTCGGATTCTCCGAGATTTCTTTTGTTCCCCATGGATGTGTTTTGATTTATCATATGTTGCATGTCACACACAACCTGACGTAGAAGGAAAACATATTTGAAACTCTGTCATATAGTAACATTTTGAAAAAGATATACATTTTTCAAGTAATAACAGACAGTACCCTCCTTAAGAAGAATATTGAAACATGTTGCATACAGATCTTGTTCACAGAAAATTTAATTTGCAAAATCACTTAATTTTCCCTACAATAGGTTTATGTACTGTTGGTAAATTAATCTTGTTGAGAAGAAATTAACAAGTTGCCAATATGCCCTTTTCTTTTCTTTCTACATTGTTAAATCATAAATGCTTGTTGTCTCTTATAGTGGAAGCCGAGGGCTACTTTAATTAAAATCTAGCTACCTATATCTATTAAGAGTATATAACTAGTCTAACTTTTTTCATATATTAATTTTACACTATTCTGTTTTTCTTTCATATATATATATATATATATATATATATATATATATATATATATATATATATATATATATATATATATATATATATATATATATATATATATATATATATATATATATATATATTCTATTTTTTAAGTCAAAATTTAAGTACAATTTTTTAAGTGTATTTTTTATTATTTTCTAATAAAAATATGATAACTATATTTAAATATTATTTGAGTGAAAATAAGAGCAAGAAGAAATGTTGTCATATTTTCATTATAAAATAGTAAAAATCACACATAAATAATTGTATCTAAGTTCTATCATTTTTTAAATTGATCCTCTCGATTATTACTTGTCCTGGTTTTAGTCTCCTAACTTTCTATTATGAAAAACTCACATTTCTATTTTGGCTTTGTTAAGTTAGTTGTAGTTGTTAGGAGTGGGTTGACGTTGATTAGGATTTTGTTACAACACAACCAATGGTGGATATCGATGAATCGTCTTCTATCTCAAAAAATCGACCCTTGTCGTAGATGATAAGTTCTCTGTTTGGAAAAGCTTGTCATCTTCGAACTCCTTCAGTCCAAAACTCAAAATCAAGCTGCAAGATAATAATTTCTTCCTATAGAACCAATAAGTTGAAGGTGTGATTTTAACGAATAAGCTTCATGGATATGTTGTTAATTCGAAAATCCTTCATATGTTCAAAACATATGTGTATCTTATCAACAATATGATCTTAGAGGAGTATGAAATCTGGATTGTCCAAGATCAAACTCTATTTATTTAGCTACTCTCAATAATATTTGAACTAGTATTATCACAAACTCTCACGTGCAAACGATCATATGAAGTTTGGGGCAGAGTTCACATACACTTTAATGCAATCATGGAGGCTCATGTGCACCAATTACACACATAACTCAAAACAACCAAGAAGCTGAATCGCTCTGCCTCTGAATTTGTTCTTTGAACTAAAGCCATTGTTGATTCTTACTTTCAGTTGGTAAACAAATTATTGGACAAGATCAAATTGATGTTGTTCTTGATCGACTTCTGAAGGAATGCAATCCTTTTGTTATGTAGGTTTATGGTTGTCTTGAACCACACACAACATATGATGTTGAGATTTTTCTGTATTTTCAAGAAGCTCAACTCGACAAGTTTATACAAGATCTTTATATCTCCAATGTATTTGTCAATTTAGCTCAAAATTAGTTTAATGTTGGACAATGTGACTTCAAACACAAGATGGAGTGAATTGGGTGAGTTTGAAAAATGATGTCTCGATAAAAATCTTTGATAAAACGAGAGTTTAAAATATATATATATATATATAAAAAGATAAGAGATGGAATAAAGAAAACCAGACAGAAGAAAATGCAGCGGAAGTAAATAAATTAAAAGTAAAGAGATAAGGAGAGAGAAAGATGCACCCGAAATTTATAGAGGTTTGGCCTAATAATTTTAGCCTACTCCTCTCCTCGAGAATTTTTTTTCTTAAGAGTTTCCACTATGATGTGAGCTTTTGACACAATTTACACACAAATCTCCTTACAAAAGGACTGAAGTTTTACAATAATTTTCCTCCCAATCAATCACGAGTGTTATAACTATAAAGACCTAACGACTAAGATATTTTTCCACTTGGGCAATCTTAAACCAAGAGACAACTCTTAATACCAGACTAAGCTCACGAACTAAATGAGAGTTTTATTTACAGAGCCACTTAACCAAATAAAGGTTTTATCAAGTTCATATGAATAACCAAATAAGAGCTTTTCAATTGGTTTATCTCATAACCAAAATAAACTTCTAACAATGAGATATTACAATAATGCCCTTATATCATAGTCAATTACATCGTAGATATAAGATTCACTCTCTAAAGCACTAAAGAAAACGTGAAGAAATATATATATATATATATATATATATATATATATATATATATATATATATATATATATATATATATATATATATATATATATATATATATATATAGAGAGAGAGAGAGAGAGAGAGAGAGAGAGAGAGAGAGAGAGAGAGAGAGAGAGAGAGAGAGAGAGAGAGAGAGAGAGAGAATAGTATTTAAAATACGTTTTTTTTTTCTGGTGGATTTTGAAATGAGGTGAAGCCTTATATTTATAAGACAAAAGGTGACTTAAATATAGAAAGTATTAATGGGTCTTTTAATGTCAATAATCAGTTATGCCTATCATGTAATCAATTATGTGATAAAAAAAAGGAATACTTTCAAATGTTAGAGTCATTATTGGATTAAGAGACACAATAATCGATTATTAGGTTACAAAACTGACAATCCACTAACCATAATGGACTAAATGATTATGCCATATAAAAAACTATTCTAATTGATTATAATGAGTCTCTAATCTATTATCTAGGCACACTATTATTTCCCGATTGTTTGAATAAAATCTGATAGATGTTTAGATCATTATAAAACATGTGTGTCATTTTCCTAAGTAAATTCAAAAGCTAATCTTATTCTTTTACAAACACACATCACTCGACACAAAAAAGGAGAGCTTCCACACTTCCTCTGTTTCACAACTCTGAATCTCCAGGTTCCTTTCTAATCTTATACCATTCATTATCATTTTTAGGGCCTATTATGGTTTATGGCTTTGAAACTGAAGATTCTTTTAGATCTTATTTCATGGCTAGTAGTCTTGATTTTTTGGACTTATTATTGTTTATGTATTCAGCTCGTTCTATTTCATGATCAAACGCAAGTTGTTCTTCAGTAACCTTCCCTCGCATAAACAAATATCAAAATACTAGCCAAAACTTGTTAGTAGGTTAGTGACTATTGTTAGTTCCTTGGTTTTATGATTGGCTAAATTTTTGTAAAACATGGTTCTATACTGATGTTGAGTAAGATGTCTTAACATCTCCATCTAGTGTCATAATAGTTTTACTTTTATGTGTTTCAGCAAGACGTTGAAGACAAATGTCGTGACATCATGGTCTGTGTACAATAGACACTGTTGTTGTGTATCTCTTGACATATTGGATTTGATTTGATGAGATCCTTTTGAATATTCTTCATCATTATGCACATGTCAAGGAAATTTATTAGGAAGAAAAGTACATATTTGACTAGTTTTATAAAAAGGATCTTTGAGACTTTTTAGGAAACATTTATGAGATTGGTTTCTATTTTCATGGGGAAGATTGTGTAGGGATTTGGAGCTGCTGATTGGATTTGATTGAAGAGTTCAAGCCCACTGCAAGAGTCTATTTAAGGGGATGTCCAAGACCTAGTTTTTTAAGCATTCTTTTTGTAAATTGAGTGTGCAAAAATAAGGGTTTAGGATTTTGAGAGTCTCTTGTGTTCTTGTATTTATAAGTCTACCTTGTACCTTTTGAAACTTGTGGTAGACGTAATATTCTCACTCAGAAGCCTTTAGGTAATTATTTGAGTATTGTTCTTGGACGAATCTTTAAAGCAACACCAAGTATTATTCTTAGTTAAGAGTCTTAACTAAGTTTTGTATTGGAAGTGTAATCTTCTTGTTGAGTTGTTTCTTGATACAATCACTGGGATTAGGACTGTTAGATATCACTGAGATGATTTAGGGAGTGAGATGGGATTTCTCATATCTAGATGATGATTTCTAGGTAGAAGTTGAATTGGGTAGGGATTAACTAATAAGTTATAAACTGGGACTATTTAGGCTTTAAATTGATACTACTAATAGTGGATTTCCTTTCTGGCTTGGTAGCCCCCAAAGTAGGTGATGTTGTACCGATCTAGGTTAAAAACTCTATGTGTTATTTATTATTCTGCAATTTAATTTCAGTATCACTTGCATCTTGATAAATTTGTTCAGTCTGTCGAAAGATGTTGTAACATCTGTCCTGCCATCATGTTCTGATATTGGAAATATCAGTTTAAACATGTGTGTTGTATGTGCCAGA